TTTCTGCTTTACTTGAACTTGTAAATAACTAATAAACAAAGCAAATGATAGTTGACATCAGAAATAAAAAGCATGTAAAAAAATAGCATGTTCCACACAACAAAAGAAAACAAGACCTTGGCAGCTCTCACCAAAAGCCTAAATATTTAGTTTTTTGTTCTTATTATATGTATAATTTCTTCCCACCACAAAGGTAGATGCATCAAGATTTCTTCAACTCATGGCAGGGGTAATATTAAAACTTGTCCACTAGAGGGAGAGCTGGAAAGGACATCAAGTTTTAGTCCTAAAACATATCCGACAACCCACTCACACAAAAGCACTTCAATGCACTTTGGCTCTATATTTCAAAGCTGTACAGGATGAAGTCAGTTTTTGTGTACATGGACTATAAATGAAGCACACAGAAGTGAGAGGGTAGCAGCAGCTGATACAAACATGAGGTAAATGAGAACAGAAAGGAGGTGGAGCTGTCAAAAACACAAGGACAACCAGTGCTTTCAGTCATACATACCGGCAGCATCTGGGATGAGACGGCAATGAGAGAGACAAGAGAAAAGCAAGTAAATCTTATCCCTGCTCTTGTTTTAACTGATTTCCTCCTCCTCTATCGAAATGGGTAGAAAGGGTCAGAGGGTAGACAGGGAGACGGTTGTGACTATTCTACAGTATAAAGATAAAAAACAAAAACAAAAAAGAAACATCTGCTTGGTTTGAACAAGATAAAACTTCCTAAAACCAGGAAGTTTTCTAACTGACTGAGATTGTGCTGGTTCTGATAGAAATATATGAGAATAAGCAAAGCATAGCAGCAGCAGCAGATCTGTTGATGCTGTTGTTAGGTCTGATTGGCAAGCATCATCCTTTTAGCCATTAATATTTGCAGTAAATATATTTTGTAGCATGGTGAACCTGCTAAAAACAAGTAACTATTGTTTAAAACATTTATTACATCCACTATGTCTGGGAGATAAAAGCAAATAACGTTTCTTTTTAGTCATTTGCTTCTCAAAGCAGGAACATGCAAGCTAAAAGTTTCTGACCAAGAAACAAAAAAAAGCATCAAAGGTCTCAAAGCTCTGAGGATCACAGTCAGATTAGGAACCCACTCAATCCACTCAAACCAAAGTAAGCCTGATCTGTGGAGGCTACAGGCTAGTTATTCACTATGGTGTTAGTGGCAAAGCAGCTTTCATGAGACATTCGGTAAAAGCAAAGTCACAAAAAGTCTATCTCTACCTTGGACACTTGCATCAGAAAAACCGTGACTCATTTGGAGTCTGGGTTTTCTAGATTTACTAACGGTTCTCTGAAACATCCTTGCTATAACCCACATCTCTGAGATAACAGTACAAATATAGTCAAAAGAGTAGAACACCCATCATGGTTCCAGATTTAGGATATGCTTGATTTAACTTTGTGGCAACTCTGTGTATTTAAGGCAAAAATTGAGCAGCAATGTAAGCCAAAAAACAAAAATAGCTTTGACACATTCATTTCAAATTAATTTAGATAGTATGAGAAAAAATTAATTAGGACTTTAAAAATATGGGGGATGCCACAAGGGAAGTCAAGTTTTCCAGAAAGCAATTATATTAACTTGTTTTGGAATTGATTTAGTTGTCTTTTCCATGAATGAAGCTATTGGAGTTGTGTTTTATCCATGTATCCCTTTTAACATTTAAGTCACAGACATGCAAACAGAAAAAAAAGAGACATTAGCATAATCACACTTTGTATTTCAATCTTGCACATGCATGGCTTTAAATTTTGCAGTGATACTACAATTTATATATATTAATGATTCGGTTTAATTCTGCTGCCACACAAACTTGACCAATTAAATTTACTGAGTCAATTAAATTCTTTTGTTACAAAAGTATTCTGTAGTAAAATATACTACAGAATACTGTAGTACTACAGAATATAATACTACTGAATACTTTATGTATGACCAAAGTCATGCATAAAATAATGGCAGTAATTGCTGCAAAGCTGAATAAAGATCTACCAAACCATAAAGTGGGATTAGCTTCATACAAAGTTCTTCCACTTTGACTAGATCTTTGGTTGATACATAATGCCAGTGGAGTCTATTTATTGCTGTGTACACTTGACTATAAACTTCATTATTATAGTAGCTGATTTTTGTTACACTGTATCTTGATGTATGGACTCAAAACTTTAAAAATATATATTATTTAGTCCGTTGACTAAATAATATATGCACTCTGTAAATTCCAGTGAAGCCGTTCTAAATTACACACCTTACAAAATATAGACCACAGCTGAACTTAAGAAAAGAGATTCGTTCTTTCACACTTTTTTTTTTCTGAACAGTTATGATGACAGATACAGATCCAAAACAGGGTAAGTTAAACCTCTTAATGATTTGTGCAGTTTTTGATTACTTGCATGTTCTGCCAATATTACTGTCAAATTTCACTGAGTAAAACTTATCCCTGTCTGCTTGTTGCATGTGCAGAGCCTCAAGGAGGAGACGATCCACGCAGTCGTGCCCACACAAGTTTGGTGGTCGTGATGCTTATCGCCATCATCTCGACAATGACCATTGTCGCTTTCTTGATCTACAAGAGATCTCCTCGTCCCTTCCCCACCTTTGACAATCCATTGTACTTCAATGGCGAAAAATCTCAGCCTGATGTGGTCGACACCAATACATTGATCGAGAATGCTGAAGTATCCGATATCTCCCCAGAAAATCCAGAGCCCATTTTAATTCTGTGATTTAGGAGTTTCCAGAAGTTGAAGTTGTGCAAACTAGTCTGAGATAAATTTTTGTGTAAACACAGCTATGCTTCAGTATTTTGTTTTTATTGCAAACAATAAATATTCAGTAATTTAACAATAACTGTATTTGTTCTTTCTCTACCTATGACAGAATGTATATATAATTGCTACATGTTAAGCTCTTTTTCTACATGCTGTTTATTGCTTTTACTGTTTGAATGTAAAATGGAGGACACACCCTGTCAATGTTCAAAAAAGACATTAAACTGTTCATGATGATATACTGTTCATTTTTTTTAAATTACATTTCCATATTTGTTTAGGGTTAAACAATGTCAGCACTGTAATTATTGGTTTCTTTAAATGAATTCTGCATAATGATAAAGAAAGGAGGGAGAATGTTTCTTCCCACTGAAATCATGTTAGAGGAAGTCACAAAAACTTGGCATGTTTATATATGGCAGCTCTTTATTTAGTATGACACATTTTCATCAGAAAAGAAGACATTTTCTGTTAAATTCTGTCAAAGGAAATCCCATTTAGACTGAATTTAGTGGAACTTCTTGTATGTTAAAAATGTAAAATGCATATCTTTAAAATACGTTAAGTGTATTTGTAATAAATGGATCCATAATATATGTTTCATGGACTGTACTCCAAGGTAGCACAATAGTGCTTAGTGCCAATATAAAGCAATAACTGTCTGTATGAGAACTACTACAGGCGAATAATACAAAACATTGGAAAAGTTTTAACTTTTGGTTAAAAGATAACACTGAATATTTGCTCCCCTGGATGTTTACAGTGAGTTTATTCCTCCGTTGAAAATAAATGTTCTTGAAAGTGTAAGGCAGTTTTACCTTTCTATTTAATTTTCCAAAATATACGTTCATTGGTAGACATTCGTCTCACAGTACAAATAATCAGAATAGACCAATCACATGGAAGCAATTCAAGGCATTAACAGAAAAGATTTGCTGAAGTTAAGTTCGAATATCAGAATGGGGAAGTAGTAGACAGTAAGATAAGTAGGAAATAAAGTGGCCTGTAATTTATAATGTTAGTTTGTGGATTAGGTTTAAAAGCGATGTCTGAACTGTTTGGTCTTGTCTCAACACAAACACAAGCGCTAACAAAGTATAATCTGAACAACAGACTTCAACTTAAGCCAGAATTACTTACATCCATGGCAAATTTAGGTTTTTCTTGTATGGAGGGCTGAAAATGACATTCAAAATTTAAAAGAAATAGCAGAGTAAATCAAACAATAAATTTAACTTGTACCCTATAATTGAAAAATAGAAAGCTTTGCCTCTTGTTTTATAATTCAATTCACTTTCACAGCAACTTAAACTGAACTTAATGAAATGTTTTCCAGAGAAGTAAGAAAATAAAATCACAGTCAGCGTTATGAAGACTTCCCTTTTTGCAACTATTTCCCAATAGTTTCCAGACGATTTCTCAAGCTGACTTCTACTATCCATCCACCCATCCATCCATTTTCCGGTTACCCTTCTCCCTAACGGGGTCGTGAGGTGCTGGTGCCTATCTCCAGCTGTGTTCCAGACGAGAGGCGGGGTACACCCTGGACAGGTCGCCAGTCTATCGCAGGGTGTCTTCTACTACATTGGTCTAAATCTTTGTAAACCACAAAATAGATAACATCCATAACTGTCTACGGTTCATTTTGTATGATCCATAATGTATTAGAGACAGTTCTAAATCTAAAACATATAGCTTTCAAAGACTTGAAAATCCTTTAACTTAAAGTCAGTGCAGTTGTTTAAATGCTTGCTCTTTGAATTTTTAGTGACTTTCTATTAAGTTGTTATGCAAGTCAATGAGAAGCACCTGATGTTGATGACAAACGACAGTTGAACGTTTGGTTTTCTGATTAGCAATAGTCTTTCCCAAAAATGTCTTTTGCAACCACAGGAACGCACATTTACATTTACATTTACCATTTACGCACATATTTTCTTGTCTATTGGGATGCAAAGAAAAGGTCATAGGCAGAACATGGTGCAGAGGGTATCTTTCTTCAAATAAATTGCTCTTTCAGATTTCAGGAACTATATGGTAATTACTTGTTTGTCAGAAGCAAACAAACCAGACATGATGCTGACTAAATAGAAAGAATAAAAAAAAAGAGATGTGATGACGTGGCTTGTCGTGATGCGTCTCCGGATAAAAGCCCCCATCTCTACATCTTGACCAACACAACTTCTAGATTTTGTGTGGACATTACATGGATTAAGCATTCTCCTGGTGAAGAAAGTCTAAGAGGAATCATGAGGAGCACATGTGTTGTCACTGTGCTCCTACTGAAAATGCTACAGTGCCTGGCATTAGATGGTGCAGTATTCCAACTCTTGATTTCAATCTGTTTCAGATTTTTTTAAATAGCAGTAGTTGCATATAGAAATCTGTGTCTAATTATTGCTTGCATGTCTGTATAATATAGACAAAACATTTTCTAATAGCTAGCTACTGAAATATTGATAAGAACTTTTCATTTTTTAACAATTTCTCTTTTCAGAATCACCATTTCAACTTACCAACGCAGCTGGGTTTTGCTTGGTTAAAACGGACTCCATTTGCCAAGAACTACGCTGGACAACTGCTGACCGATTGCTGGTGCCTGGCAAAAATAAATGTCTGGGAGCCCAGGGAATAACTGTGATGAGTGAAGTAAGCCTCTACGATTGTGATGAAACCAGTGAGCTCCAAAAATGGAACTGTACGAATGGAACCATGCTCACCCTCCAAGCAAACACCGAACACAAGCTATTTATTGAGCTCCAAGCAGATAACAAAGCTGTACTGGTGACAACAGCAGGACCCAACAGCAAACTCACGATATCAGGGACATCCAGTGGAGCTTGCACAAGAACTTACAGAGGTATAAACCTGCATTTTTCACAAGATCCAAGTAACTAATTTTAATCTGTATCAATCACAGTGCTTAATTGCAACAATTTTTTTGTGTTGTTTTTATTCATTTTTCAGAACTTTACACGATAGGAGGCAATGCAGCAGGAAGGCCCTGCATGTTCCCTTTCTTTTACGAAAACCAGTGGTACTCAAGTTGCACTTCGACTGACGCCCAAAATAACTGGTGCTCTGTTGAAACCAAATACGATCGTCAGATATGGGGCTTTTGCCCATCAAGCGGTGAGTACTGAGTACTTAGTGATATAGTATAGTCAGTGTTTTAAATGCTTATTGTTTTGCCATTTTAAATTAAAAAAGCACTTTATCATTAGTGAATGTTGAGCTGTTTGAAAAAAACATGAGAAAAGCAAAATAACATAAATATGCCACCTCAGGAAATTGGTAAATCTTCAAAAAAGATGCCTCCCAAAGTATGGACTGAGGCTCAACTTGAGCCTCCATACACAGATGTATATTTTCAAGCATACTGATATTTCTAACGGCACTTGCTGGGTTTGAGTTTACAAACTTGAATTATTTCTCTCTGTAGCTAATCTATACAATGTAAATGTTACATTTCTTTGTAGAATTACTGAAAAAAAAACATTTATTTGCTATTTAACCCTTAAGTGGTCACCCTGAGAATGTGTCCAAGTTATCTGATGTCCTCATGACAGAAAAAGTTGTTTTTTATTTTATTTAGTTAGATGAACTTGTATATTATGTTTTGCAGATAAGGACAGCTGGATCAAACATCCAGTAAGTGGAGCATTTTATCAACTGAACACCAATTCTGCTTTGACGTGGGCAGAGGCTGAAGCAAGCTGCAAGCAGCAGAGCGCCTCCTTGCTCACCATCAATGACCCCCATGAGCAGGCTTACATAACAGGTTCAACGACTTATAAGAACTCAGACTGGCAAGAAAATACATGAGCTCTTCATGGTCTTTCTTTTTAAATGTTCTTTTATTTCACCCATATAGTGTTGCTTGAGCCAGAAGGAACCCGCCAAGGATATAAACTTTGGACCGGGCTGACTCTGGATTCAGAACATGGCTGGAAGTGGTCTAATGGGGACCCTTTTCGTTACCTTAATTGGGATTCAGGTAGGATTTTTCAGTCTCATATTTTGATAAAAATCACAAGGTCCACAAATAGCTTTCCTTTAACTCTTCACAAACTTGTGTTGCTTTTGTTCTTGTCATTTATATGCAACAACAAAGTCTCTGGACACAGCGTTGTATTTACACAATCATTTTCTCTCAAGATGAAAAACTAAATTACAAAATTAAACCCTGATGTGAAAAAATAGTTATGATAAGTTACAACATACCTAACATTTTCCATTATGTCGTTTTAGGACAACCAATCACCCATCCAGCATATACCTGTGGAATGATGGATGGAACCGTAGGGTACGCATGGCAAAATTCAATATGCAGCAAGGAATTTGGCTACATCTGCTACAGTAAAGGAGTTCTGGCTTCTCCAACGGCAGGTAAAATAATTTTTACTTGGAGAAATTAAATATGCTTATGATGTTGTGAACTTATATTTATTGCACCTTGTGGTTTACATTCTCCTTTTTGTGTTTCCTGCAATCAGTTCTTAACATGGGATATTGTTCAGCACCATGGGTTCCATACAATGGTCACTGCTTCCGACTTTATCGAAATGCCCAAAGCTGGTCTGGTGCTCAGCAGGCTTGTCGTAAAGACGGAGGCGATCTTGCAAGCATTCGCAATATGGAGGACCATAGTTTTATCACGTCAGAGCTTGGATATGGTACCCTTATTTTCATATCAATCTGTCTTCTGGAGGCTTCTTAGATTGGGGTTTTCTTACACTTGACAAACCATCCAATTGCTAAAATTCAAGCTAACTATTTTGCCTTTTCTTTTAATCACAATAAGGAATTTGCAAACTAAGCACATAAATTAAAGTTTATGAAGTCCTATAAACTAATGATAGATATTTAGATGTATAACGGCAATTCCTTTATTTATTTCTGCTGTCTGCAGCCTCCACTGATGAGCTTTGGATTGGACTCAATGACATTAAAACAGAAGGACTGTTTGACTGGTCTGACCACACCACAGTTACCTTCACTAGCTGGGAGGTTGGAAAACCACAAACTGCAACAAACCAAAACGATTGTGTTCTTGTCAGAGGAGAGGTGAGAAACATTATGTTCTCTTTTAAATGTGACACATTTGAATCTGGTCTGGTATGGTGAAGCTGGGCCACAAAGCAAAGAACTCAATTTACCAATGCATTTATAGTCACTCAACTTATTGAGATAGGATCCATGATGGTAGATGAGCTTCTGACATAGAACACCAACTGTTTCTCTACATAGAAAAAAGTTAGTGGAGGTAGTTCATGGATTAGATCTGGTTCTAACCCATTTGGAGATTTTTTAAGTAAATCCCATTGACAGGAGAGCCAGAACTGATTGGAGGTATTACAGTCATTTTGAATAATTTTGAATATGCAATCCAATGAGTCTTGTTTGTCAGATTAAAAGTACCTTTTGACAATAACAACCTATAAGCAGGTATTAAACATACTTTTCATTAACCCAACATTTGTGTTTTCAAAAATAGTTTCATTGCTCTGATGTAATACTTTAATTAACTGTAAGTGGAAAATCATCATAATTTATAGAAATATACACATTCAAACATCCATCTGCATGTAATTAATCTATTAATTTGTTTCACTTATTCATTAAGTTCCTAAAATAAACTAACTTTTCTACATTATTTTGAATGGGTCTGCATAGATCAAATCTGTGTATTTTGACAATATATTGTAAAACAAACTGTATTTTCTTCCTGTAGAACGAAAACTGGGCGGATCGTGACTGTAAGGAGACCCATGGCTTCATTTGTATGAAAACCAGTGCTTCTGAACCCAGTGGGGATGAAATACAACAGGATACAGGTTGCAAAGTTGTGAGTGATTTTTTCCAAGTGTGGAAAAACATTTTTTAAAATATTTTATCTGGCATAAAAGTAAAAGATTTCAATAAAGTAAATAACAAAACAAAACAAAACACAGTTTTCATAAGTGATAGAATTAGAAATGCACAATTGTCAGTTCAATGTTTTGCTGCCTGTTATATTGTTTTGCATCTTGACACAGAAAAAGATTAAAATGCTCTTTTTATTTTTCCTGAAAAGGGTTGGAAAAGATACGGATCCTACTGTTACTTCATCGGAACAGAAAGAAAGACATTTGGAGACGCGAAAGAGGAATGCAAGAGATCAAATTCTTACTTGGCAGATGTTTCAAACAGGTATATATAAAATATACATATTTTTACAGGCATGTTAAAAAAAAAGAGCGAGAGAGAGAGGAAGAGAAAAAGAGAGTGAGGGAGGCAGATTTCTAACACCAAAGGGATTTTGTGATACAAACAAGCCATATTTGTTTATAAGAAATATTGCTAAAATCATAAAATACAATTCATTTTCTTGTAATGATAAACAAATTAGGTGACATAAGAAGAAACAACTGGTCCTCTGAGATAAAAAAATGACAATTAAAAAGCTTTAAGTGTATAAAGAATACACATAAAATATTACACCATGTTGTTCTGTATAATCTTAGACCTAGTAGGACAACATAGCAGCAACATCTCATTCATAAAATCTAGCTGTTTAACTAATGTGAAACATACTGTAGCTCTATCTTGTTATTTAAGAAATACCTTTACATTATTGCATCTAAATAGCTCAGTATTTGGGACTAACACACCTAACTTAATCTTTATCTTTAGCTAAATTAACCTATTTGGTAGCTCAAAATCAAATATGTAAGTTAAATAACAAAAATTATTGTGGTAAATGTTTTATTATTTTATTGTCCATGTTTCCAGGGTGGATAATGCCTTCCTAGTCAGCTTGGTGGGCCTCAGATCCGAGAAACATTTCTGGTTAGGGCTTTCAAACCAGAAGAACCAAGATGTTTTTGAGTGGACCAGCACTGTGCCTGTGAGATATACTCACTGGAACAGGGAAATGCCAGGTACAAAACATCTATGTTCATATAATGTGTTTGAAAGTAACTTTTAAAATGACAGTTGTTAATTTCTTTGCCAACAAGGGCGCAACCAGGGTTGTGTCGCAATGACCACTGGTAGCACTGCGGGCCTCTGGGACGTTTTGCCGTGTACAAACAGAGAAAAGTACATCTGCAAATATCAAGCAGAAGGGACAGCTTTGACACCTGCACCAACGACTGCTCCCTCTGACCTTTGTGCAGATGGATGGACCAAAATCTCATCAAGATATTTCTGCTTCAAGGTGAAATTTGATATTTTTAATGTATGCACTGCTAAACTGCAGTGATTTGTCAACATAAGTGACGTCAGTTAGAAAAAATGGCTGATTGCAATTGTGATTGTTCTAGGTTTTCAAATAATTGAAACACTAATAATAAAATCCTCAATGGCTGCTTTATTATAATTTGAAACCATGAATTTGCCTTTCTGAGATGAGAGTGTGATTCTTCTCTTTTAACTTGTTTGAGGCAACCTGCACATTTTGTCATATTTTTGATGATGACAGTTAACTGATAAACAAAAGACATCAGAGGATGAACTGCAGTCTGATTGGAGACATCGCATTCACTTGAATTTTGCTCAGTAATAAAATGAGGGATGAATGGACACAGACAGATAACAGGAGGTGAACTTCTTGTGTTTATAGGTATTTCCAGGGAGTTTAGAGACTAAGTCATGGTTTGAGGCCAGGGACTACTGCAGAGCAATCGGAGGAGACCTACTAAGCTTCCACAGCGCTGCTGAGTTGAATTTGAATAAGCAATCATCTAGGTACAGCATGACTTTATTTATCTACTGCCATAAACAGCAATTTTTCAATGAGTTGCACCACAATGCTTTTTTATGTCATTTTTCTTTTTCTTTTTTTTTTGTTTGCAAAATGATCAATATCTCTTTGGTATTTTCTCAGTAATTGCTAATAAGGCTGAAATCACATTATGGATGAGAAATACCATGTAGCATGCTTACATTATAAGCATGCTGCATGCTTGCTTATAAAGGCACATATACTGTAAAGGTATATGAGTCTTTACAGTGAAGCATATTTTTAGGGTTGTCTATAGCACATGTGTCAAACTCAAGGCCCGGGGGCCAAATCCGGCACGCCGTAGCTTTTTATGTGGCCCTCCACAGACTAAACACTAAGTGTGATTGAATATTATATTATCAATCATATCAATGCAGTTTTTATCTGTTTACTGCCAATTTATATCAATCAATCCCTCCAGTTTCTTGAGAATTTAGTTGATATATGGTTATAGTCCATGATTTATACAGCCAGTAAATAAACAGTCTCATTTATTATTGGTTCCTGAAGGGACTGAAAAAATGTTCAAAAATGTTATGTAATTTTAAGATTTCATTGACATATTAACAGTTTGTGAACAGGTTTTATCAACACATTCTGGCACAGGGTTAGGCAACTCCAGGCCTCAAGAGCCGGTCTCCTGCAACTTTTAGATGTCTCCCTGGTCCAACACAGCTGATTCAAATAGTTGAATCACCTCCTAAACGCAGTCAAGTTCTGCAGAGTTCTGCTAATGACCCCATTATTTGACTCAGGTGTTTTGAAGTACAAACATACATTTATTAAGCGAAGAAAATATATTTAGAGATTAAGCAAGTGCAAAATTTTGAATTTAAGTTAGCAGAAATTCAGAGGCTGGTTGGAGGGACAAAGCCAGCGAAACTAGAGACTCTGAGCCTTTTATAGGAGTGCAGGGAACACGCACACATACTGTATTTGTGATCAGTGGTCTTACAAACCCTGGTCTTTATCCATACTCATCCATATATGGCAGCCTGAGGAATGTGTAGGTCATCCAAAGTACTCTTGTATTTGCTACTGAAACTTAAATATATAATCTGTTTCCGGATCCTACTTCTACAGCAAATATTCAATACTCTGGATTGGACTTAGTGCCAGTGACCAGGGCACTGGTTTTGAGTGGAGTGACGGATCCCCAGTGAGTAAACAGATTGTTTTCTTTACAGGACTTCTCAATCTGTGACAAAACTATTTATGATCTTTATGATCCTTATCATAATGGTTTCCTTAACAGGTAAACTTTCAACACTGGAAAGATGGAGAACCAAACAACAAAAACAATGTTGAATCTTGCATTGAATTCTTTTCAAGCGATTGGGGTCTATCAGGGTCTTGGAATGATAAACAGTGTGAAGCGCCTAATGGCTGGGTTTGTCAGATTCGTACAGGTAAAAGGTGGCTATGGCATACAGTTATATAAAGTTATGCCTAGATACATTGAATGTTACCAAAGTTTGTGTTATAGTTCCCAATTATACCATATATTTATTTCTGGTGTGCTTTCTATCTATATGTAGGGTTGACTCCGAAGTCACCCCCACCTCCTCCAACTCCAGGTAAGTGAATTATGTAATGACTTGAATACAATAACTCAGTTTTTAAATTTGAAACGTAATAGTCAACAAACTTTCTGGTGGTGATGCTAATAATGGTTGGCAAACCCTCAGACTGTGCGCATATTTTTACTCTGACAAATTGAATATTACTTTTTGAAATTCACAAATCGCAACTGTGTCGTTAAACTGTAATCAGGCTGGGTTTGTCTGGTTCACTTCGGGTTCGGGTTGAATTTTCTCCTTGCAAAAAGAGTTTAAATCCTGAGAAACGCCTTTCTTTACATGTTTACATGTCTACCAGAGTTTCACCTAGAAAAACTGCAAAGCCCTGTGGTGGGAGTGTCATGATGAACCACCAACAGGCCACCATGTTTTTGTAGTAAAAATGTCAAGTTTAAAGGAAATGTAGAAATATTACTCGGAAATTATAGGTTACTTGTTGACAATATTTATAGAGTCTTAAAAAAACAAACAAAAATTCAATTAAAATAAATAATATAATATTTTTGCACTTCTGTTAAATTCCAAGTAATTAACCAACAGATTTTCAAACTCCAGGTAATGCTGGTCATATTTAGAGCTGACTCCAGGCATACATGAACTAAGCAGCTGCTGAGGCATAAATGCTAACATTTTATCATAGATGTAGAATTTTAACATTTGTTTATTGAGAATGAAAATGTTAGATCTGATTTTATGATTCATGCATAGATTAAAAAAGGTTTTTATTTTATTTAACATTGAAATTTAAGATTTAAATGTGGTGTAAAAGTTTAATGAAGAATCTTTGTAGTTAGATTGTTGTGCTACCATAGCTATCATCTGATGTGATAAGTTTAATGTTTTCAACAAATTACAATCATCAGTGATTTTTTAAAGCTCTGCCAGTTAATCCAGGGCTACAATCTGCCTGTATTGTATCAGACTTTACTTTTATAGAGTATCTAATGTGCATTATTTGCTATGGCAAATGCACAGATTACAACCGTACCGCTGATGGGTGGCTGGAATGGGGGGGAAATCAATACTTCATTGAAACCCGGAAAAGGGCCAATGACGATGCTCGAAAATCCTGCAGAGAGAAACATGCTGACCTTGTGACCATCAACAGCGAAGCAGAGCGTACTTTCCTGTGGAAACAGGTATGTTTATTCATTATTTGGTATGGCACATTTGCAATAGCTCATTAAGATATAACTACAAAAAACAATAAATCTCAAATTTAGCTTGTCAAAAAGAAATCGATATTCACCAGATTTCAGTGGAATTTTAATTTACTTTATATTAAAAATTATGTGAACAGAGACTCTCAAAATCATTCAGGCTCTTTGAACTTGTTCGCATTTTATCATAAATATATGAGATGTATTTCATTGGGATTTTCTGAGTTAAATTCACACAAATGTTCATGACATTGTGAAACTGAAGAAAAACAATAGACTTAAACATTAAAAAATAAAAATCTAAAAAGATTAATATTTGTTATAAACCACCCTTTTATTTGTCAGTTTTAAATAATCTTTAAAATGTCTGATCTGCAGATTCCAATTTTGGCCAATCCATATGTTTTTTGTCTGAAAATTTAAATGAAATAGCGATAAAGTCTCTAGTCTCCCTCATGGGATAGTAAACGGTGACAGTGAGGTTTAGGTAGGTATAATTGGTGGATAAGGTCGGTTTTCCATGTAAGTTTTGGATGATCTCCCAAAACTAAGAAAATCAGTGGTAAGCATTTGTAAGCATTTTTGCATCTCTGCCTCAAGTTAAAAAGCACCTGAGATTGGAGTGTAGATTTATCTTTCAGCATGAGAGAGGAGAGCTAAAATAGCTTACAGCATGTAATGTGTTCTGCCCTGGCTCAATAATAGATGAGACCTAAAATCCATGACCCAGGATTAAACATTTCTTCCTACAGACATTTTTACTGTGCTATTTTATAAAAAGAATGAATTCCTCATTTGACTGAGCTAAATGATAACTTAATGAATTGCCCAAAAAAATTAGATGATATGCAGCAGGATTAGAATTGTATTTGCCTTTTGCAAAGTTCACTGAAGTTCACAATGTTATGAATTTACACAAGTTATTCACTTCTGAATTTCTTGTTACATTTCTCTTACATATTCTCCTGCACTCATAAACTAAAATGAGCCTTTGTTTGAGTGTAGATATCCAATCATTCTGATTCTTTCTGGATTGGACTAACTGTGGATCTTGACAAGTCATTCCAGTAAGTTTATGTTCCAAACATATTTGGGAAAAAATGAATATCTGTTTGCAAGCTTTCTTTCAAAGCATTATAACATTATAATGGTAACAGAGCAGATTAATGGATTAGTGTATTTTTCTTTGCATACTTGACCTCGTCTTTTCTTGCTTTAAGATGGATGGATGGTTCTCCAGTGATTTATCAAATGTGGGATGAAGGACAACCTAATTTTATTAATTTTGATGAAAACTGTGTTGTCATGAAAACGTTCAATGGTAAGTAGATAACTAAATGAAAGTAACTGAAAAAACTATTTTATATGTGTTGTTAGAATATGAGCCTTGATAATTTGGGAACATTTTAATAGGAATGACCGTGATGTAATCATTAGATCTTACATGATTTGAAGTTTGACTTCTACGGTGATTTACTTTTTTCTTGTGACTAAAAAGAACTTTTATTATTTTGTCCTTCTGATTGCATTTTTTAGATAATGAAGTAAGATAATAGGGTATTGTAGAAAAATGGTTCACCAACTTTTACTCATTCAAAAATATAGACAAAACTAAGACCAGGGGAGGGATATGAACTATTAACAAAATAGTTATTATTATTATAATGCAATAATAATACTATTAGTACTTTTTTTATTTTATCATTTCACATACATCTACACCTGTAGATTTTCTTCTTACTTATTGTATTTTTATTTTAATGGCCAGTACAGAAAGGTTCAAATGAGAATAATGAAGAAATCAGAAAAATTAAACAATAAACAATCTGTAAAGATATGTAAATATGAATACTTTGGTAAATGTCACCAATCCCTATGTATATACACACAAAATTGTGAAATGCATTTTGTGGCTTCCTGACTAATCATTTATGGTTTCACAGGGTTCTGGCATGATTACAACTGTGGATTTGAATTCGGCTCTATTTGTAAGCGCAGTAGCTCACCTCCTGTCAATGCCACGGTGGCTCCTACAGTCCCACCTCAAGGTAACTGCAAAGAAGGCTGGAAGAGGATCAACTCCAAGGTGAGATTTGGCAGCATTTCAGTTTTATACCTTGAGAATATCTGAGAATATCCTTCTGTTGGAGCTAGATCGAATGCATTCGGTTGGAATATACACAAATTGTAACTTAATTTCTTATGGCTCAATTTCAGTGTTACAAGATCATATATAGTAAAAAAGTAACATGGTTCAATGCAAGGCAACAATGTCAAGAGATGGGAGGAAACTTGGCCTCTATTCCCTCAAGACATGAGCAAGGTTGGTTTTCTCATGACAGTTTTGAACATTTACTTCAGTTCAAGTTATTTGCTACAATACATTTACCTTAGTATTTTGCTAAGTTTTCTAGTCATCAGCCTTGCTGTAGTTAGGCTTTGTATTTGACTACTAACCACCCTCACTAGAAATATTGTTTGCAGGTCTAAACATGATTAAACTGGAATGCAAAGTGATGGGAATTTCCATGCCAATCAGAAAAGCCAGAAATTTATTATGTTATTGATTTGAAATTGTCTGGGACTTTAACGAATGTTTTCTGTTTTCAGTTTTTTTAGTGTCTGAAATGGCGAACACACCAAATAGAAACCTGTGGATTGGTATTCATAGCTCGTATGGCAATGGGTTTTACTGGACCGATGGACGGCCAAAGTCTTATGTCAATTTTGATATTTCTGTAAGTTAACATTGTATGTTTGTGTTGTCAATTTGAAAATGTTATTACTCAAACAATTAATTAAATATAACATTTTGTGTTATGTTTTATTAGCGAAATAGGCATTCACCCTTTACACATCGTTATTATTATAGTAATATAAAAACATTCATCTTTCTTTGTACAAAATCAGTAGTTTTACAATTTGTCAGAATCCTTTTGATGAAGACGTAAGTAATTCTTAGATTATTTACGTTTGAATACACAAAAACCATTCCTTTTGCTAGTGAAACAAGCTTCGCTCTGACCCACTGGCAGAAAATTATGTCCTAATAGTGAGGGCTGGTCTACCAGGGACTGAATAAAGAAAATGTGACTGAATAGATATGATCTCTCCCTGTAATTCTGATCACATCTCCCTCAGTTTTCCCCTGCGGGGAACAAAAAATATTCTCTGATTCTGAGGTGTACAGATTATAATAATCTTAAAATGTTGCTTTATTTTGCAGTTGTATATTGCATTTCGAAACGAGGTGAGTATTTTCTAAAATGTAATTCTTACCATTTTACACTTAATTACCATCTTTTTTGATCTACATTTGCTGGGTTGTCATTTCTAACAGAAAAAATGTGCTGTGATCAACGGTAATCCTTCATATGGACTTGGAAAATGGATACCTAAATCCTGCAATGACACCAATGGATTTATTTGTTTAAGTGGCTTACGTAAGTCATTTAAAGTGGTTCCTGCTGATGGTTTTCAAAACAGTAAAATGTTCACTTACTTGCGTGCTACACCTATTTGTCCCACTTTCAACCTTCAGTCCAGGTCTAGCTTATTTCTCTCTGCGAAAAAAACATCAAATGATTAGTAAAATTGCAAACAAAATTTGCATAATTAATATTTGTAAATAGGAATTGAATTGATTTGTGTAACCTTGTAAAGAGAATTTTATTTTCCTTCCTTTGGCTGATTGGCCAATCACAAGAACTTTTTATAACCATTTTGTTTGCACAATCCTTCTACTTTGCTCCAGATGTCCAATTTTACTTAGGTGGTGAAGTTACTTTTAAGTTAGATATTTGACAGATATTGCCCTTATGTCTCACTACAGTCAGCAATGGCTTCTCATGCAGTGTGCTGTCACAGCATGAGATACGTCACTTGGGAAGACTCACTGTACTTATGCAGAATGCATTGATTCAATAAAAGACCACCAACAAATTCCAGTTGGTAGAAACACACAAACAGCAAGACCTCAAACCCTAAACTCAAAAGCTTCCAAGTGACCCAAAAAGTGATACTGAATTATGTTACTACTCTACACTACTGAGATACACCTGATTCTATGAGATTCTACGAATCTTAGTGGATCGTTACATTTTTAATTGACATAGCATTGACCAATCAGCTGTAAAAATTAGTACCTGCAGGTGGAAACTCACACCAAAGCAAGAGAGTTTTTTTTTGCACCAGTAAAAAAAATATTAACTAAAAGAACTTGAGTAATTATTTTTTACGAATAAATTTTTTACACAAATTATTTTCTGAGGATGCACAAAAAATATTTCTCCATTTTATTTTACAAGGTTACACAACTCATGCATTCTGATTACAAGTAGATAGTATTTAATTATAATCATTTCTATTTAAATGTATACATTTTTAAATGCACATTTTTGCAATGACATAAGTACTATGATTGAAAACTAAAAAATTATTACTTATCATTTCTATTCTTAAACAGAATCAGATATATCTGAAACAACTAAACCACCAAATCCAGAGAATTACTTCAAAATCCTAAATGATTCTATCAAGCTTGTCACCCAGCAAAAGAGTTGGTCTGATGCTCAGAAGACCTGTGAAGCTGACGGTGCCAAGCTGGTCAGTGTACGGAGTGAGTGGACACAGGCTTACATTGAGCTGCTGGCTTTGAATCTTAAACGTCCTCTGTGGATTGGACTCAATAAAAACCAGGTAAGGTCTTTACAGCCTCTAAAAGCAAACATTTATTCTAGATTCCATTCAAACATATTAGATGTAATGCTTTCATAACAAAATGCTCACAGGGAATTGGCGAAATGCAAATTTTTACAGGTACAAGACCTGTCTGATGTATTAAGTGGAAATATGAATTTCAGTTTGATCAGTTGAAAAATGTTTAACAGATATTTTAGATATTTAACAACGT